AAAAAAAAAATACCACATTTTGTCGGAAAATTTAGCTCATAACTGTCAAAAAAATACACCTCACCTTTAATTCAATATTTATATTATTTAATAAATCAGTACGACTGCGGCAACAACAGCAACAATATAACGAAGTTGTGACAACCTTTTCGAAGGAAAGCCGAGTTTTTGCGGCCTGTGCTCGGCCCCATTCACACAAATAATCCACCAACATTGATACATCAGGAAATGAACTAATCAAATCAACCAGACTTTCATGAAGCTGAAAATCAAGCGCGATCATTTTTAAGCAAGAATTAACAAGTATTTGCTAGAGCACTCGAAAAACCATTTGGGGACATAGCCATATATGTATGGGTGGTGGGGTGGAAACAGAAGAATGGAGAATTTGCCAGCTACTGACTGCATCGAAAGTAAGAAAAAATACGACAATGAGAGAGTAACCGAACGCAACACAATCAATATAAAAATATCAGACACTCTTTGTTTCTTCAAGTAAAAGCTAATACTGATAGGTCAGTGGTGTATAATAAAGTCGTTCATAATTCATTTTCTTTGAGAAATTCGACGAACTCGACAGCAGCCCGCGTGGTAACACTTGTCAAAATCCGAGTAGTAGCACTTGTCAAAATCCGAGTGGTACACTTGTCAAAATCCGAGTGGTACACTTGTCAAAATCCGAGTGGCAGCACTTGTCGAAATCCGAGTGGTAGCACGTGTCAAAATCCGAGTGGTAGCACTTGTCAAAATCCGAATGATAGCACTTGTCAAAACCCGAGTGGTAACACCTGTCAAAATCCGAGTGGTAGTACTTGTCAAAGTACCAGTAGTAGCACGTGTCAAAATCCGAGTGGTAGCACTTGTCAAAATCCGAGTGGTACACTTGTCAAAATCCGAGCGGCAGCACTTGTCGAAATCCGAGTGGTAGTACTTGTCAAAGTAAGTGGTAGCACGTGTCAAAATCCGAGTGGTAGCACTTGTCAAAATCCGAGTGATAGCACTTGTCAAAACCCGAATGGTAGCACGCGTCAAAATCCGAGTGGTAGCACTTGTCAAAGTCCGAGTGGTAGCATTTGTCAAAAGTAGCCATCTGCTGACAAGGCTGTCAACGGCTTCCTCTTCCAAAGGTTGCTTAGAAGCGATCTGAACTCCCTTGGAATTCCAGTCGAAACAGATGAATGAATCGCCGAGGAACCGGCTATCCTACTGGCAGAGTTGAACCACCGATTTTTCGCATAAAACTGATACCATTAACATAGCGTAATGCTCACCAGCAAGCAATAAATGGTAAAAAAAAAAAGAAATTTACGTGTTATGCACTAACCGTCTAGTCAAAAGTAAAATGAGGGAGCGGGAGGCGGGGGGG